TTCCCTACAGGTTGGCACAATAGTTGTGCCCTAGATTTTGAGAGGGAAACCTGAAGAGAAAACTGTTGTCATTGTAGGAGCAAATGAAGCATACAGAATGAGAAAGCTAAGTCTCCTGAGGTACTTGTGTATAAATCTTTCAACCACAGATACCCGAACCCTAACCCTAATGCATTTTTTTCTCACCAATGCTGCAAAACTGTCTCTAAGAACCTTCCCTATCCTCGATTTCTTTCTCAATAACATGTCTATTGCAAAAAACCCCAAATCAACCACAAGTTCAACAGTTGCGATTAAAGAGAAATATTTAACATTAGGAATTAAAATAACGCAATCTCGCTTAACAGTTTTAGCTGATGCTACTGAAATATGAAATCATGCATCAACTTCAGATCCAGTTGTTTGGCTTTTTTTTTAATTATTAATTTAGTTATGCCAACTAAACAGTGCAAATCATAAATTGAATGGAAAAAAAATGGATCTGCTTCTGCACTGATATACATAGCGCTGAGCGTGAGAAATGAAAATAGTGAACTCTACGCAGATCCTCACATTTTATTTTACTAATGTGACCTGATAAAAGAATAGAATTATAAATATGGGCTGACAATGTAACTGACTTGATTGGTTGTTTCTTAAATACCTATTGCTGGTGATGTTAATAAAAAATAGCACTTGTGTTATTAAATCAACATCAGTAGCTAATGCTTTTAGATCCCCAAGACAGACAAGAATAAATATTTTCCTACCTCTGTGTTAAATGAAGCATAATATACAAATATAGCTTAATCAATAATTCTTGAAAATGTGGTTTTCAAATATATTGCTACATTTTCATTTTGACATACCAATCAATGGATCCATTTCGATTGGAAGATGATGGGCTTGATCCAAAGAATATCCTGGGGCTCCACGAAGGCCTGCTCATGAAAGGAAGAATAAAGCACACAGGAACCTTGTTGTCTACATTTTAATATGATTTTTCAAGGTTTAAAACTGCATCAGTGGATTATTTTTACACATATATATGCAAATGTAACTTCTTACCATTACTTATTCTATGAATCTTTTAAGATTTCTTCCTATATGCTACACATATATACATATATGCACATATATACATTAGTAATTATTCAGTTCTTTAAAAGTAACTATAAATACATGAGTTCTAATATCAATATAATTTCAGCAGCCACCAACATTCATTAAATAACTCCTGTAAAATAGTGTAACTGAGAAATTTTTTACATTTGAGCACCGGGTGAGACCTTGTAATAACACAGAAAAGAAACATAATTGGGCTAACCACAGTTATGAGTTTCTTACATGTAGAAAACTGTAAGTGACAGAAACTTGGACATTTCATGGGTTTATCTAGAATTTTTAGCTGGGAATTTGTAGACTACAAGAATTTGCCACAATTATTCATATTAGTTCTATCCTGAGCAGTCCTGAAGCTGCTCAAATGTGCACCAGGGGCTGCATATTTAGAATTATCTGCTCTTGTGCACAGATTGCATTGCTTTGGTTTTTCTGAGTACTTCCCCATGCATGTAGATCACAATGGTCACTACTAAAATCAAGTTTTTTGTCAGGAGCTGCCATGTTGCACAAGAATATTCTCCAGAAGTGGAAAGATGGAGGTTTGGAGAATAAGCTCCATTTTATACTAGTGCAATAGACAACTACAGGAGGTAAAACAAAACAGGCCCTACAGCTGGCCCTGCCAGCTTCTGAAAAACACTGCTTTGATTACTTCTCCTACCCTCTTTTCTCTCTGTTCTTTCAAAACCAAACTGGTTTGGGACAGATCTTCACTGGTATTAGCTAAGATTTACCTGCTTCTATTGTGAGGTGGCCTTTTATGCTATAAAAACTCTAAAGCTCTACATATATCCTCCAATAGTAAAAGTGGCCTGTGCATACATTTCTGCAGATTAAATTATCCTTATACTAGAGTTGTGGTTTATTAAAATAATATTATGGTAATAGTAGGAAATTGATAACCTGTCCTGGATTAGCCTCCAGCAAACAAAAAGACATTGCTAGGGAGGATGTAGAAGTTAAGAAAATAATTTTGTTTCCCTGTTTCTTCCTGCTATGATATATTCAGAAAGCATTTCTCTCTTTGAAATGTACACCAGAGGTTTTCAAATAGTGTGAAATTTAGTTAATTGTTGGTTCATGATGTGCACTGTGTGTATTTGCAACATGACTTATGTTTTGCAAGAGTATATACAACAAACCAGAGCCTAACAGCCATGTGCATTGTGAAGGTCAATACAACTTCTAAGAAACTAGATGACGCCAAGTAACAGTTGTTAGACAAACCCTTGAAATCCAGGCTACTGCAGTATTAGTGACCTTGACTCCTTCAAAGTGAAGTATGGGTAAGAATTTTGGCTTCCCCTCACTTGACAGTCTGGACAAGAAAGGAGTACTCAAGTACTAAATAAGCCTCCTCAGATAGTGAATGGGTATAGAGTACTTGGGCAGCATCCTTGAAAAATCCAGGGGAACTAATTAAGAATTATTAAAACAATGTTAGTTAAAAGAATATTAAAATACCAGGGGAAAGTTTCAGTATCTCCTAATTATTTCTGACATTGGGCTCTTCCATTGAGGAATTTTGTCACAAAATATTTTTTTAAAATGCTGAGGTTATTTTTCCCTCTAAGCTTATCCCTTTCATTTCAATAAATGCATGTATTTGTGAAAGACAATCCGATATCCTGTTCTGTTCTTGTCATATTCTCTAGATCATAATGCAAAGTTTATTTGTAAACATAGAATAGCTAGATTCCAAATATATGTAAAATTTTATATTCATAAATATTGTTATGTTGTTTAAATATTCAGAATAAAAATAATATTAAACTTGTATTACTATTCAAGAATTCAGAGACATATTAACTTCACTTGCTCTGGTAGCTCCACTATTCTAATGTCTGCCTAAAAAGGAATTCCCATTAATTTTTCCAATCATTCATTGCTTCACTTGACTTGAATTATTAATTGACGAGATTTTTACATTTAAGCCAGTGAAATCCCTATGTAATCTAGAATCCCTTTATCTCTACTAGAGGAAGACATCTCACCTAAATATCACAAACCCCACTCCAGGAGGACCTGCTTCTGTCAAGGTGTTTCTCTTGTGCATAGGGTGGAGGATTTGTCTTTTTTTGCCTAGCTTCTATGAAGCTCCTGAGCCAGCTGCTGAGTCACACTTTCAAATACCTGCTACCTTCTTACTTTTCCTGGGTAATAAGAAACCTTCAAAATTTTCCAGATACTGCAGCATAAGGGCTATCACAGCAGGGAGCTACTGTAGAAAATGAAACCTGTTCATTCCCAAGCAGGGTAATACTTCATGTACCTCATGGCCCCATCATCTATTTAGCAATGCTTGGGTCAACCTCAGCACCTACATGCCTAGATGAGGAGACAGGACAGTCCTGGTGGCAATGTGGAGAGGTGAGCAGAGGGGCTGGAAAGGAAATTTGGAGTGACCTTGTTGGATGGACTTTTGGGAAAGAATGCGTAGTTTGGTGTTTGGCTGCTTAGACTTGCTTAGGGCCCCACATTATCTCATGGTGATGCAAGGGAAGGCTTATGACAAGCTCCTGGACAGATCTAAAATCCCTCTCAAGCAGCTGACAGTGATGTACACTCTCTAGCATGCCAGTATGTATTCCTGAAGCCTGGGACATATTAATATCGGCTGTGTCAAGAACAGCAGCACTCTCCTGAGAAGCATTATATCAAAGGCTGATCCTGATGTAACCACAAATCGATTGGCTGCCATGGTGATGTGCTGCTGTTAGGAAGAGTGTTTCTAGGAGTGACACCAGAGAAAACACAAGCTTTGATTATTTGACACAAACCAGAAAAAGACAGAACACTTTTGTGCACAGGCAGGTGAGTAAGATTAACCCAAATCCAGTTAAATTGCACTCAAAATTAAAGTTGCACTGTTAAGGTCTTTACATTCTAATAAAATGTGCCAGCAAGAACCTACCTACTGTGTTGTGCCACCGATTGACTGCAAACAGCCTGCTGCAGGTGACAGTCACCACAGCTGGAATGGTCAGGTGGGGCAGGGTATTGGCTGCCACGTGTGTTACAGGGGAATTTGATGGGAACTTCAGCACCATGATGACATCCTGCTGCATCTGATCTTTAAACATGAGGGGGCTCTGTGGAAGGAAACACTGTTGAGTAGAAAGGAGAAGAGAGCAGAAGAAAACAGAAGGGATAACACAATTAGTGAGGAGATCTGAGGGAAAACACATTTAAAAAAGAGCAGGCAAGCATGTGCACATACAGGGTAAACCAAACTACCTGAGACTCTACACTACTGATGGAGGAGTGCAAGATCAGAAGCTATTATTGGATCATTACACAAGGACAAGTAGAGAGTAGGTATGGTAAGGGTTATTGTTACAGGGGGCAAAATGACCATTAGCATTCATTAATAAACAGTAAAATGTAAAATTATACAGTAGTGAATACTCATAAAATAGAGATATGAATAAAATAAGAGTTAATTAATACATCAGAAATATAAAAGCTCTAAACAACAATGGTTGGAAAAAGAAATGTTAAGAGGGACTGAAAAAGTGAGATATTTAATTTTTCATAATGAATTCTTTATATGAAATACAGCACTTCCAAACGGAGATAATTAATTCTTTGTGAAGTGTATACTTATTAGGGAGTTTTTAAGTAATTATAAACCTGTTTGATGATTCTGTAAGTAACACAGTTTTTTTTTACATGGACAACACCTGTGGATGGCCCCACCCAGGAAGTGTTAAAGACCAGGTTGGATGGGGCTTTGAACAACCTGGTCTAGTGAGAGATGTCCCTGACGATGGCAGAGGGGTTGGACCTAGATGATCCCTAAGGTCCCTCCCAACCCAAACCATTCTATGATTCTGTGAATAATACTGTTATTAAGTACTGGTTTTGATGTTATTCTTTTTTCAACCACTGTTATAGCAAAGCATTATTTCTAGACATTCAAATAATCCTTTTTAGTTATCACTTAGATTATCCTTAAAAATGTATTAACCATATCTGAAGACCATAAAATAAATATTATGTACATCTGACTTTGACACATTACTTAAAATAACACAGTGAACACCTCCAGATTAATGCCCATAAAGTGGTTTACCTGTAGATATGACTGAAACAACTGCATATATTACTTTTAACTTACAAAACCTTAAAGAAAATATCTAGCTCCAAGCATTTAATCAAAGGCTCTGAGGGGCACAGAGATCTCTCTTGTTCAGTCTGGTTATTTCATACAATTCTTTGCAAAAAGCACAAAGAATGCTTTGGGAATGAATTTTGGAGTTTAAATTGAAATTTGAAATGTATATTGCATTATCCCAGGGGAACAGGCAGGACCATTCCAGTATGATTTGAACTCCAATACTTCATTTTTGTCAAGCAGGCTGTCCTGCTCAAGCCAGTACAGAGGCATTATTCATACATCAGCCCCTAACAACACATCTTTTAAAACAAAACAACATGCTCACTTTAAGAAAAGCCTGCAGACATTCCCACTACTTGCAGAAATAAGAATGTAAATATGTATTTATTAAGTGTATATTTATGAAGATAGGGCCTTTTTATACAATATTAGACATGAAAAGCTTGGACCGTAGGAAGCTAAAGCTAAACAAACCTCCACCTTGCTCTACTAGAGCACTACAAGCCGTTTCTGCCAGGAGAAAGTACAGCTTCGTGGACAAAGAAGGGCATTAAAAGTGTTGCTTAATGGGCACTTTATGACCTACAAAGGATCCTTGGGTTCAAAGGGAACACATTCCTGGCCAGCAGTTATGTCTCACCAGGTGCATGGCAGAGCTCCGAGGTGGATGGGGCTCGATGAGCAACTGCGATGGCGTCTGTCCAAAGTTCTGTATCTGCGCCTCCATGGCCTGCGGGCAAGGCAGAGGGACTGTCATGAGCAATATGCATCAAGGAGAGAGGTCAACACACTGTGTGACAATGCAGGCATATCCCAAGTCAGCCATGAAAAAAAGTCCAGAAAATTCACCCGGTGCTCTCCTCCCAGGCTGCAGACTCATCCAAGTGTTAGTATTTTGTAGACAAGCTTTGCTTCTCCTTTCAAGCATGCTTCAGTTAACCAACTAACTCATTTCCAGTAACTGGCATTATATGTGAAAATGTTAACCTGTGAGGACATGCAGTTCAGGTCTTGAAAGAGTTTTTTTTTTTTTTTCCACTAAAATGAACATATATACCTTAATAAAGTCCTTTGTAAGGAGGAAAGTATGAGGATCTCTAATAAAATAAGCCTCTGGAATCTTAAATGGGGGGAAAGAAAACCAAACTGAGAAGCAAATCCATGTATAAAATGTAATAAGACTAAAATCATTACTATTGCAACAATGACTTTAGCAGGTTAAAACAAAAAAATACCAGAACCAAATCTCACCAGGGACATTCAAACTACTGTAAAAATCTCTTCAAGTTGCATACATTCAGTTACTATTTATTTTGTCCTTAATTTTATTGTAATTTTTCATGGGCTTTCAGGCTTTCCAGCTGAAATGAAAACTTAGCAAATTCAGTGCATTCTTCAAGATTTAAATCTACTTTCAGAATACATCTGGAGTAATTTGACAGGGAGTACAACAGAGCCTGTATACTGAGATTCATCCACTACTCAGAGAGTTCATTAAAAAAACCCATATAATTAAGATACATTCTTTAAAACTTTGACAAATACTACTCCTTGTAAAAGAAATATGTTAGATAACACTAATTTTCAAATGGACAGGTGCTATTTTATTTGACCTTGTAAAATCTAGAGAGTTCGTAGAAAAGTAAACTGGCAGAATTTGAGATGGACTGTGCATTATGTACCTATATATATAATGTACCCTGAACTACTGACCCTTAATATTTTTCTTGAAAGATTTATGAATTTTTCATTTGCTACCACACAAAAAACATGAAGAAAACCACCAAAAACATGACTATCCTTGTAAATTGCATTGTCTTTCAGACATAAAATGGTACAAAACACAATAAATACTTCATGATACAGAAGAATCCTTTTAATTTGTGTGTTTTGCAATTCCTACAATCCCATCTATGTTTTCCTCACCTTCACAGCATAGATGCAAGAGCAGATATAAGAGAGAGATTTCTTAACAGGTCACTAGCATCTACCACCCTTCATGGCCCAGATTGACAGGTATATAATGGAATACCAAAACCAAAAAATTACTGAAAGAGAAACTTATTGCAAAGCCCAGTCAAATGGCTGAAGGACTTTCATCACATTTGATGCTGTAATTATCTCAGTACAGGTTATTTCTTGCTTTTTGACTAATTCAGAGTAGATTTAGTCACCAAGGACAGTAAGTTTCTTGGGAACTGGTGAGCATTGGAGGTTTTATTAACATAATTTAATGAAAAAAAATAAAATCATGGAGTAATTTTATACAAAGCCAATGCATTTCTGTAGGCATATGTATGTATATGTGGACACCTCTATAGAGCAGCTATCTATATATTTGCCATACAAATAGTATCTCTTTACATGCCGTGCAGATACCTTCACTCATGAAAACACTTTTTATATGGGAATATAAACTTCACTTCAAATTAAGAGAAATCAAAGTCAGTATTTTCTGTTAAATTCAGTACTCTCTAACGTATTTGGTTGGCAGGGAGAAGGGAAGGAAATTACAGCTATGAATTTCATTTTGGGCAACAACTAGTAACAGTAACAGGCACTGCATGACATATGCTTCAGCACAGGTCTGTTGACAATATTTTGAGAAATTTAATTTCCATACTTCTTTTTTTCAAATAATCTAGGTTAATTTAATTTTAATTTTTTAAATAATTCTGTGTTGAAACAAGAATATGAATTGTATTTGGCAGCAATACTGAACAAAAACCAGATCTTTTCTTCTGCCCTTTATTGTGATCCCTGAAATGATACTTCTGCTCTCTCACAGTCATACTGAAATAAATTATTCAATTTTTTTTTCAGTGCAAACCAATTCTAATTTATACATTGGCTTTCATGTTGTCCAGTCTTGGCAAATTCTGATTGTTTGGCTCTAAATTCTGTGCACATAAACTTCTCTGGCTTTGCCTCTCAGTTCTGGTAGATTTATGAGAGAAGCAGGGGAAAAGAAAGAGAAGCAGAATGTGATACTAAACCAGCATGAATTTTTCAGATGATGAGGAATGGACAGTTAAAACATAACTATCTATAGCAACTGCTGTTTTACAACTGAAGATGTCCTGGTAGATATTCACTTACATACTTTACGTGCCCATAATTTTAAAACATTTAAGTTAATGCCAACTCCTTCCATAACCAGTACAAACACAGAATCAAGATCTTGATATTCAGGGAATATTGAATATTTTTACTGGCTTGCACTTAGAAAGACAACCTTTTCTCCCCCACCCAATGATCAGTATTATTATCTTTTTCTTTAAAAAATGCCATTTGTAAAACTGACAACTCCTGAAGTGTCAAAGAAACTGAACAATGTTTCTTTAAAAATACCCATAATATTCAACAACTACACTGAGACTATGGTATGCACAACACCACAGCTGTGCACAGCTACAACTGGTGTTCCTCTCCAGAGCTCACAACACATAAAAAGGACAGAAAAACCTTGTCAAAACTTACACAGACAATAAACATAAGCATACAGAGATAAAATGACTGGCCCAAGGGTATTTTGAATGCTGCCTCCTCTCAGATCACTTGACACAAAATGAAAAGCAGGTACAGAACAGATCTGTGAATAATGACATAATACATTGATTTGTTTATAAAAGAACTCTGGCTGTATCTGAAAATAATCTCAAAACTGGTAAGTATGCACCACAATTTGCCTTCAACTGTAAATTATCAAACCTCAGATGTATTTAACGGTCTTAAGCACTTCGTTCTAATTAATCAATTCCTTTTCTCTCCCCAGATCTTGAGTACTGTGTGCAAAGTGCTACACCACACCCTGAACACACATTCTCACCAATTTAATACCAATTTCAACAAAGTTTATTCTCATTTCCCCTTCAAATAGTCTTCATGGAGAAACAATGTAACCTTAGAATTCAATGGCTGCTAGATTTAATGATTTTGAAACAGCAAAAAGGCAATTGTATTGATTTTCACATTCTTAATAAGGTGTTGCAGAAAAGCTATTTAGCGCACTGATTTGAGATTCTCTACTGTTTTTAATGCACATTAAAAGTGATGTGTACTCCAGACACTTCACAGAGTATCTGCTAGGATATGATCATGTATTGCAGAAAGATGAAATGTGTCTTAGCCTATTTCTTGATAATCATAGGTCAAAACAAGGAAAGAAAAATGTCTGTAAAGTTGCTAGTAGTTCAAAGTTTAAAATGAGTTGATCTCACACATTCTAATTCATGCAATAAAGCAAACCCAACTTCACAGTAGTTTATATTGTCCATTTATCAATAATATAGATTTATATTGTACATTTACAAACATTTTTGTCAATAAATCAATATATGACATTATCCAGTCTTATGAATCATACTAATCTTAGATACAATAAGCAATATCCTCAATGTATTTTACTGAAATGAAATAAATAACTTGTCATAAATTCCCAAGGATACTGGGATGCTCCTCTACAACCTGGAGGATCAGCCCTTGGTGTCAGCTTCCTGTGGAATGAAGATTTCAATGCATCTGCTTTCCTCAGTATGCAATCTGCCAAAGTATTGGGTTTTATTTAATTCTATTTGAAAGAAAGACAAATCTGCCTCTAAGTGATTCAAACAATCTGTTTCTTTAGGTGTAAGAAATATTTTCAGTGATGAATGGCAACGCCTCCAAAAGCAAGCAGTGCAACTCAACAGGAGCAGAGCTGGAGATCAAAATAACTGGTCTCACAATAGAATAGGATATTTTTTTTCAGTTGGAAGGAACCTGCAACTGCCTGACTGCTGACCAAAAGTTAAAGCATATTATTAAGGGCCAATATACCTCTTAAACACCAACAGACTTAGGGCATTGACCACTTCTCTAGGAAGACTGTTGTGGTGTTTGACCACCCTTTCAGTAAATAAATGCTTCCTAATCCAGTCTAAACCTTCCCTGGTGCAACTTTAAACCATTCCCACATGTCCTGTCATGGGATCCCAGGGAGAGCAACACCCTCCCCTTGAGGAACCCATGCTGTGCCCACCTAGAGGGTTTCCCACCAGGCTGTCTCCAGCATTGGCTGCAGATTCCATCAGCAGCCGAGCTCTGCCAGATGCAGAGCTGATGCTTTGTGAGGGGTGCTAGATGCACCCCTGAAGCACACTAATTCTGGGACTTAGAAGTCAGTTGACAAACTAGAACTGCTCTGAAGTGTGAACGAAAGCATGGCAAAATAGGGGTGCTCAGTTCACTTATTTCAGAAGGAAAGTCCAGAATGAAAATGCTAGAAGTGACTCATCCAAAGCATCACAAAAATGAAGGTTTTATCTGCTCTTCGGCATACCTTCACAAACAGGATAAGCCATGAAGATGTTAATTTTTAGCATACTTTTTCTCTAGAACAGTTATTTAAAATGCAGGTAGAATCACCAGGGAAGATATTAATGGTTCACCTCATTTGAAAACACTCCTTTGCTGAGAGAGATGCCAGGTGACTACATAACACAAGAAATATAAAATTCTGAGCATTTTTACTTTGAGTCATGGAGGGAAGAAAGAAATTTCTGAAACCAAACTATATTTGACCTAGTAAGACAGTGATTTGATTCTTATGTGAAGTGGTATTGTTTTATCAATCTTCAGTGATTACTATCAGTATTCAGTTAAAATGTCCATAATATGTATTATTTGAGTTTTTCTGTGTTTTTATTACCTTTTTTAGATATTCAGTAATTCCCCTAATCCTGGTGTGTT